TCCCCTACTTCGGACTCTATGCTTTATATTCCTTGCACAACCACACCGATCAATTACTTGAACCGGAAGTGGAATCAAAAACGCAGAAGCCAATAGATACATCTCGGATCGACCTTATTTTTGGCTTCGATTTTTTTTTTATTAGGGTTTCGGCCAAATCAACAATTAATCGGTATCTTCTCGTCGACGACGGACACACCGTGTGCCCTAATTTTCTGATTTGCAGAAGTTTGTTTGTTCTATTGGCTTATACAAGAAGATTGAAAGATGAAAAAGTACGGATTGAAAATCAGGGTTCGGTCCGAGAAAAAGAATTCATCATTAGCTCGACCTCCACTTCCTCCTACTCCATCAATATTTGATGAAGATGAAGAAAACGATGTAGACAAGGAGATTTCTCGCCAAGCTTTAAAGACCAATGCTCTTAAGGAAGTACGTTTTCCTCTCATCGTTCTGATTTTTGTTTCTCTTATATTAGATTTTGATCTGCTTGACAAGTGAATTCTGTATGTTTATAGATTGAGGAGCAACATAAGAAAGATTTGGAAGAGGACTCTTCTGCTTTTGCATACGATGATGTTTATGATGCCATGAAACAGAAAGTAGTTCTTCCACGAATGCATGATCGTCAAGAGCGCAAGGTAATGTAAAATCTCTGCTCTAGGAATCATTAGAAAGCAGTTTTATTAGGTTTTAGCATGCTTATGTTTCGTTTGTTCTAATTGCAGCCAAAGTATATCCGGAATTTGATGAAACAATCAGACCGTAGAAAGAAAGAGAATGAAATAGTTTTTGAGAGAAAGCTTGCTAAAGAGAGGGAAAAAGACGAACATCTTTTTGCAGATACAGAAAAGTTTGCAACTGGTCCCTTTAAAAGGAAACTTGAAGAACAAAATAAATGGCTGGCAGAAGAAAGATTGATTGAACTTCGAGAGGAAAAAGATGATGTAAGTTTAATATCTGGTGTGCCTATGATTTTAAACGGATTTGGTTTTAACTTCCTTTTTGCTTTGTTTTCTTCTTTTAGGTTACAAAAAAGAAAGACTTCATGAGTGATTTCTACTTCAACATTGGCAAAAATGTGGCATTTGGAGCTCGAGATAAAGAGACAAAAAGGCTCGACGAACAAATAAAAGCAGAGGAGTTCGAGGAGCTGAGAAAAGAAGAGACAAGGGAAGAGAATAAATCAGATACACCGGAGAAGGAAGTATCGCTTAGTAGGACAATTATGAAACCGCAAGAAGCAGAGGATGCAACATTTGAGAAGAAGATGGGTTCAAATGGCACAGAAGAGCGAGACTCATCAATCAAAGCGGCAGCAAAAGAAAAACCGAAAGCCACTTACCAACACAGGAACGTCAAGGATGCGATTGCGGCTGCTAAAGAACGCTTATTGGCCCGGAAGAAGGCAAAGATAGAAGGATAGTTGTGAAACTTGGTAAATTTCAGTCCAACGATTTCCTTTGGTTTAAAAATTTTCCAAGATACAGGATTACCTTAACCAAAGTGTTAAGGAAACATTATTTGGTAATCTTGTAATGTAATGTGACTAATGTCTACCGAAATAGTTTTTCCTCTCATATATATAATAATGCCATTAGAAACCAGTTTTTTTTTTTGCACTTTTATTTCTGACCAAAATGTCTCTAATTTTGTAGAAGTAGTTCGATTCTTTGATCTTTACCTCTCTCTTCAGTAACATGAAATAAAGAATCACAAGTTCACGAAAGAGAGAGAGGATGAGAGAAAGAAGATGATGATGAGGTTGTGAATACCTAAAAGTAACACTACAAGAAATTTAACAAAAAAAAAAAGTAACACTACATGAGAGAATGGTGCCCAAGTTTTTGTCAATTTTTTTTAGAAATTAGTATCCTCAAATTGTGTTCTCAAATAAAGGTTGATATATCTCAACATTCCTCATGTTTATAAACCTTTTGTAGCAGTAAAATCTCTAGAATGTTGACAACGTCGTCATAGAAAACTTATTATATAAAGGAGGATACGCACGATGAAAATGCGACGTAAACAGAATTTTTATTCACGAGATCATTGCATGTGTAATTGTTAATTTAGATTCTGACATATGTCAATATTAACAAAACAAAATTAAAAGAAAATTTCTAAACAAGAATTACGAATTAATTAAGAAAAAAAAACCGTTCTACTAAAATATGTAGTATTTCCAATATTAAAAAAAGTTTTAAAAGAAAATAAGGAATATATATATATTCTAAACCAAGATTATGAACTAATTAAAATTCTTATTCACATAAACAAAATTCTTATTCACGAAATATGTCCAATATTGATCAGATGTCATGTGTCAAAACTTACAATTAATTAAGACAAAGTATTAAAAATAGAAACGAACAAAATAATTGTCAGACAACTAACCAAAATGGAAAATGAACAAAATAATTGTCAAACAACTAATCAAATAGTAAAAAAAAATTTTTATACTAATCTCAAATAGCTATGAGATTTTTTTTTTAGAATAGTTTAAAGAAATTATAAAAAAAAATTAGGAAATAATATAGAAAAACTATAAACAAGAAAGAAAAAGTAGAGAGGAAATATAAAATTTAATCAAGAAAAAAATATGAATGATAAAACAAAATAATTTTTAGAAATTAAAAAAAAAACAGAAAATTAGAAAGAATATGGAAATCTCAATGTTAATTATATGCACAAACATATCAAAGAAAAAAAATAGAAACATGTTTATTTTGTAAACATAGTTATAGAATATTACCAAAAAAAATTGAAATCTTCTATCTATACTTTTCAATGTTAAAAAAGGATATTATTTAAAATAAAATTTATATATGTTATAAAATAATAGTAATATATTTCTGTTAAGATCCAAAAGTATAAGATTTGACGAGTATAGATCTCTATGAAAGTAAACCGATGACATCAACGACATTTATCAATCATAGATTTATAAATAATGCTTGATAAAACTATTTATAAAATATTTTATACGTTTTTATGAGATCATTCACATAATTTTATTGTTTTAGGATTTAATTCTACAATATTTTAATTGTTATAAAATTTTTATCATAT